AGCTAAGCTCTTTTGCCGTTGGCTACCCTGGCAACCCTAGTCAAGGAGTCCCGTTGATGACAACGTCGACGACTGCGTCTAGCAACGCTTAAAGCTTCTCAATAAGTCGTAAATTTTCCGGCACAACAGACGCAATCATTTTGTTGACGGAGGCGCGCGAGGCTCTGCGTAGTAAAAACCAAGCCAACAAAATACAAATAAAAATAAAGAAATAAACGTAATAATAATATATGTGCAACAAAATTAATGTAGTTAAGCGTAGGTGCCACAAATGCGCATGAACAACAACTAAAAACTTGAATGAAATACATTTGTACATATGTTCAATGTGTGCGTGAGTGAATGTGTGTGCGTGTGTATTTGGCAGGGAAATGTGAATGCGAGAGAAAATTGTGCAAGAAAAGCCAAGTGCAATAAACTGTGAATTATACAGAATAAGCACTATATAGAATATGCAGTTGGGCCTGCCTCATAATTCTATTGCTGAATCTCCCAGCTAACTGTCGTATAGTATATTATGCAAATTAATTTCAATTGGTTTGCACTCTGGATACACAAACGCAGCGAAAGCAGTAGCAGCAGCAGCAGCAGCAGTAAAGCCGCTGCGGCTGCTGCTCTTGTTGCTGTTGTTGTGTTGTTCTTGTTGCTTGTAGTAGCGGTAAAAGTAGTAGTAGTAGTAGTAGTAACAGTAGTAGTAATAGTAATAGTAAAAGTCGTAACAGTAGTGAGAGCAGTACTATTATTATATATGTATGTAACTGTTGCCCATTTTCATACAATACACAAATTGGAGATATAATAATGCTTTGCTCAGTTGAGCAGTTTTTTGTGCCCGTTTGCAGCACGGCAAATGCTGCGCTCTCAGCTCCCTAGCCGCTCACACACCGTGAGCTCAACATTAATAACATGTGTGTGCGTGTGTGTGAGTGAGCTAGTGAGTGTGTATGTGTGTGTGTGAGTGTACGTGCTCTCCTTGATTTACCGGCATTTGCAGCGCTAAACTCGTGACGCACACACATGTACTCGTACACTCGCGCACACATTCGCACACATAACGTGCTGTACGAAAGTTAAGCAAATACCGCTAACTTTCCGCGCGAAAGTAATTATAATTAAATAGTTGCCGCTTATGCTCGCGCAAATGCTGTTAGACAATTAACAACAATTTGCTGCAGCATTCAGGCTTACCTTTTGTTTTTCATTGGGTAATGCAGTTATAGCATATGCTAACTGCTTTCATTTAAAGTTCAGTTCGCTATTTAGAATCAGCAAAAAGGTTAAGCATGTGCATAGAAATTTATGCAACGGAAAGAGGAAAAATATGATATGCAGAATCTTTCAAATAAATATAGTTAAGCGGAACTGTACTTATATATATATTTTATATAGTTACAAATAAATGGTATATTTGATATGACATCAAACTCATAAATATTAATACACTTATATCAATTAATTGATGCTTAAAGTTAAAAAAGTCACGAGGATCCGGGTTGAAATTAAAGGTTGCTTCAGCTGGCTTTTTATCAGATTAAACTTTGATTTTATACA